CAATTCCCGGCCGGGGAGAAATTTTGTACTCTCGCTATAAATCGTTCACATCAGTACACCTCGCCATGTGGCACTATCAAGTTCTTCACAGTCAATCAATTCCGACTCCTCGCTCGAGAGTCGCAAATGAAGGCATGTTTGCTTGTACACTTTCTTCTAGCTTCTGATTTGTTAATTAATGCTCTTGGTCTGAGCAAGGAGAGATATTTAACGAGCTGCTGCCTCTAGCATACGTGTGGTATAAACCAAGTAGATTTGATATTCCCTAGATAAAGTTCTGCTCAGACGAGTAACAGGAACAGATCCGTGAAGCCTCGAAGCCGATAGATTACCTGGGATTGTAATACCAGTCTTGTACATGGTAGCGTAGGTTAGGAGCCGTAGAGGTACAGATGACATTCAGTCAGAAAAGAATGCTAAAATGACAGCATGAGACTGTCCACCTCGAAGGGTGCTGATGGTTTCATTTTAGGATCTGTTTCATCAGGGCGGTCATGGACAGCGGCTGGAACGGCGGCGAAATGAGTGACAGATGTCGGCACTTTTTTGTGTTTTCTAGTATTTTCGATTTCACAGCATGGTAATCATTATAATTTATATCTGATTTCTTTTCATAACTGTTTGAGAGCTTTGTCGAGCAGATCAAATGTGATTTCAACGTGCTTCTTGTCGTACACTAACGATGGTCGGAAACGCAGCGACTTCTCTCCACATCCGCCACAATGGAGGCCGAGATTGATTGCCTGAAAAAATAGACGAATTTGCGAGGGAGAGCGAAACGAATCTGAGGAATAGTTTGCTTCAAGTTAATCAGAATGGGGCTAGAGCAATAGTCTACAGAAAAAAATGAATGTAAGTACCTTATCCACAAGCCGATCTCGAACAGAGGCACTGGGGAAATCTATGGCTGCGAACGTTCCCATTCCACGAGCCTGACTGACTATCGACGAATGCTTCGCCTGAGAAACCATTTTGCATTTTTATAAAATTGATTATTATTTATTTGTACTTAGTCATTGTTTTGATTTTACATTCAGAATCACCAGTCAGTGAAGTGGCGATATTTCGAAGGAAGGAGAAACCGTTCAAGTATTACCACAGTATGCATTCCCTTCAGAGATGGGCGGACCTGGTTAACTATTTTGTTAAAAACATTACATTAGGATGTGTGTTTCGTGCGATATTTCCATTCGAGGCAACTGTCATTTTGGCTGCTGGGCA